CCCCCCCCCCCCCCCTCCCCCCCCCCCCCCCCACCAGGCCACCCCAACCAGCTCCTCCAGGTGGCCTACCTGCCTTCATGCCAGCAATTCTGGCCTCCCCAGCAGCAGACCATATATTGCCCTGTCCAAAGGAAGTCATAAATGCCTGAGCTTTGTGGTGTGCCCACAGCAAAGATGGCTGCCTTGCTTCAGCCCTTAGCTACTGGTTTCCTGCCTGGTTTCAGGTCTAAGTCAAGATAACCACTAGCTCCCTGTATTTAACCAAATTAGCTGTCCATCACTCAGACTTGGGATACTCTGCCCTAGACCGAGCTGGCTGCTCAGCTTGAAACAAAGAAAATGGCTTCTGGGACTAGTTCTTATTGGGGCAAGGTGGTAGAAGTATGTTCTGTGAGGTAGCTAGGGGTGTGGTATCTTGGTTGGGGCAGTAAGTGAGGGGGTTGGGAGTGGGATGTGGAGGGCTTGCAGCCAGTAGGGGAGTGGGGAAGGAGACTGGCCAGTGGGAAGCGAGGCCAGGGCCAGGGGGCAGGCTTGGGCTGCCGGTGGCCATAATAGCGTGGTGAGAGGCAGGTCTGTAGGCTGGGAGGGAGCGATATAAGGCCAGATGAGCTGCCTGAAGTTGGGGGCTGGGCAGTGCAGAGTGCCATGATGACATCACTCTGTCATCCTGCAGGAAAAAAATAGAGAGAGAGAGAGAGAGAGAGATTATTTTGAAATAAATAATCTTGTAGTATAGACATAGCCTAGCAGTGCAAATCTACGTATGAAAGTTCTAATCCATCTGACATAGCTTTGTTAGCTATTTGTAAGGCATGGCCATAATTAACATTTTATATAGTTTTCTGAGATGTCTTTAAAAGTTGAATTTGGATCATTCAGCCTGCTAGTTACTTAACCCTTTCTGGCTGAGTGTCACAACCACTGACAACACACTTTGAGGGGACTGTAATAGGAGAACAAAAGGGAAAGTGATGTCTTTAAGGGGGTCTTTGTTCATCAGACATTCAAGAGGTCAGCAGGGGAAGTGTTCTGGAAGCCCAGAACACAAGAGTGGGTAATCTACTCATTGCTTGTATGAATATATTGTTGGTTTACTGTTGCTCCGCTCTTTTCCTTTAATAAAATTTTCTTTTGTCATACACAGCAATAGTGCTTGAGAGGGGGGGAAAATATGAGCTGTTAAGGTAGTTCATTTTTTTCAGGCTTGTGGATGGGGGCACAAGCCACTGGTATTTGTTAATGTTAAGAAGAAACCCCAGCTATTTGGACCCAGCTTCCCTCCCTCATTTTTCTCCCCAACAACCTCTGGCAGAAAGGCCACAGAAATCTGGAGTGAAATATCTTCTCTAGAATCTTGTTTGGCCAAGATGTTTGTGCTTTCCACATACTCCATTATCAAACCCTGTTTTTCAGAGAATATACCACATAAGTAGTGACCCTGCTTTTAAAAAGTGTATTTAATATTGTGGCTTTTCTGGAGCCTTGGAGCAGTAACTGGTCTTCAGTACCAACAAAATAACTTGAGTTGGAGTAGAGGGGTTGTTTTACTTCAATATCTGGCACTGGTGGAATACTGTGTCCAGTTTTGGTGTCCACAGTTCAAGAAGGATGTTGATCCATTAAAGGGGGTTCAGGGAAAAGCCAGGAGAATGATTGAAGAATTAGGAAACAGGCTTTGAAATGAGAAATTCAATTAGCTCATTTTATTTAGCTCAACAAAGAGCAGGTTAAAACGTGACTTGATCACAGTCTACAAACACTGACATGGGGGAATGCATGTTTGACAGCAAGCTCCTCAGTCAAGCAAGGAAAGATCTAACATGGCCCAATGGCTGGAAACTGAAGCGAGACAAACCCAGACCAGAAATAAACAATGTCCATTTTTAACAAGTGGGCAACTAAGCTTTGGGACAACTCACTAAGAGCTGTGCTGGATTCTCTATCACTGACCATTTTAAAATCAAGATTAAACGTTTTTCTAACAGATCTGCTCTAGGAATTGTTGGGAAAGTCCTCTGGGTTGTGCTGTATGGTCAGAAGAGATGACCATAATGATGCCTCTTGGCCTTGAAATCTATTAAAAGCTTCCCACAACTTTCACCTCTACAGACAACATATGGAAACACAGCTGTTGACTGGGCACAAATGGAAGAGGTGACTAAACCCTAGTACATTGGTTTGGCCTTTTCCCCCGCTTTTTTCGGTCTTGTTTCTTCTGATGAGCAGCTGCCCTAGGAGTAAAAAAGTGACAAGTTTAAAAATATTATTTTAAAGTAATTGTTATGTAGTCAAAAAACAAAAATCAACATGGAAATAGGACGTGTATTGTACTTACTCCTCAGTGTCATCAGTGCAGCACGCTGTGTTATCAGATGCCAGACTCCTGAAAGAGAATAATGAAGCAACATTAGGAAAAACAACAGTGGCTTTGCATCTGTGATCACTAGGCATGGCATCCCCCACCCCTTAGACTTTGGACTTCCCCTCCAGTGCCTTCTTGGTGCCTATTTTCCACCCCATGTATTGGGGTACCTACCTATGACGTGAGAGAGATAAGGAAGAATCTGTTTCCCCAGAGCCTTTTCACACCAGGGCCCATCTCTGTGTTGTAAGTTCGAGGGAAGGAAGACAGAGCAGCCAAGGAGTAAGAGGGGCTCTGTCCAGCCGGTGCTGCTGCTATGACGCCATCCCCTCCTCACAACCTGACACCTGATGCGCACCTGGTAACTTGTCTCATCTTCATGGTCTTACACCTACAACTGACTGTATAGGGCTCCACATCTTAGTAGCCTCCATGATAACGTGGTCAGTCATCTACTCTGTTCCTTCAGTTAGGAATCTCCTAATTTTTCTTTGCTTCTCTCTCACTTTAACTCACTGTGGGCTGTGCTTCTTTCCAACCGATCCCATTCTGTCCCTCACATTTCAGTACTGGCTCCTCTTCCCTCCTCTTGGCTCACTCCCTCATTTGTCTCATCTCCCCCTTCTCTCCCCCTCACCTAAGACATTACTTACATCCATGGTGTTTCTCTCCAGTGGTTAGTCCCACTGCTATTACCAGCTAAAGTGCTTAAGTTTAAGTGATAGATAGCTAGGCTTTTCTGGCTAATGCTCGTGGTGTTCAAATCCATACTGATCCATACTGATGATTATTATGGTGGTGCCCCAAAGTACAGCTTGAACTCTCGTGAGCCTCAGATGCTTGAGATGAGCAGGGTAAGTGTGTAACACTTGCTCTCTTCTCGTGAAGTGGCTGGGGGGCCCAGAGGACAACAGGCTCACTGAACACTAGAACTGGAAGGGACCTTGAGAGGTCATCGAGTCCAGTCCTCTGCCCTCATGGCAGGACCAAGCACTGTCTAGATCAGGGGTGGACAAAAGGCCCTCTGAGGGCTGGATCTGGCCCACCAAGTGGGTTGATCTGGCCTATGGAGGCCCTGCTGATCCCCTGCCCCCAGGCCAATTAGGGTTTGCGGGTGGAGAAGAATGAAGCTTCTTCCCACCCTGTCCTGGCCCTGCTAGGAGTGCACAGCACTTCAAAGTGCCACACGCTCCTCACAGGGTGAGAGGAGGCTTCCCGTGCTTCCCCTGCCCCCAGGCCAATCAGGGCCTGGGTTCGGGGGAGTGCGTCAGGGACATGGGTGCCTAGTGGGAAGGGGGGCAAGGAGGCTTCCCCACCCCCAGGCCAATTATGGGCTGGGGGTGAGGATGCCCAGAAGCATTCTGGCCCCACCCCTTCCAGTTTAGGTTCCCCCCCCTTCTGGGCCAGCTTAGGGCCACTTCAAACATTTTTGAAATGGCCCCCAGACAAAAATTATTGCCCACCCCTGACCTAGATCTTCCCTGACAGTTGTCTGTCTAAACTGCTCTTAAATGTCTCCCATGATGGAGATTCCACAACCCCCCTGGGCAATTTATTCCAGTGTTTAACCACCCTGACAGTTCGGAAGTTTTTCCTAATGTCCAACCTAAACCTCCCTTGCTGCCGTTTAAGCCCATTGCTTCTTGACTTAAACATTATTGGCTGTGTCTAGACTGACCAGTTTTTCCGGAAAATCAGCCTCTTTTCCGGAAAAACTTGCCAGCTGTCTACACTGGCCTCTTGAATTTCCGCAAAAGCACTGACTTCCTACTGTAAGAAATCAGTGCTTCTTGCGGAAATACTATTCTGCTCCCGTTCGGGCAAAAGTCCCTTTTGTGCAAAGCGTTTGTGCAAAAGGGCCAGTGTAGACAGCTCAGATTTGTTTTCCGCAAAAAAGCCCCAATAGTGAAAATGGCGATTGGGGCTTTTTTGTGGAAAAGCACGTCTAGATTGGCACGGACGCTTTTCCGCAAAAACTGCTTTTGCAGAAAAGCGTCCGTGCCAATCTAGATGCTCTGTTCCGAAAATGCTTTTAATGGAAAACTTTTCAGTTAAAAGCATTTGCGGAAAATCATGCCAGTCTAGACGCAGCCTAAATGAGAGTGTTTGGGAAGGGCCCAGGGCACCCACAACAAAGAGAAGGGGGAGGCTCTAGTGCCTACCTTGGACTTGAATGCTAGATCTTCAGATTAAGAGCCTGATGAGCTAAGCAACTGAGCTAGCCAGGCTCAAAATAGTACAGCTATGGAAGAAGGAATTAATCCCTCCTGATATGATGCCCAGGCCTTTTGTGTATAGCTCCAGAGCACAAACTCCCAGTTGCAAACCAGGAAGGGCACTGCTATGCAGACACACTCTGCTGCTTCTCCTAATATGCTCGCAAAGTCACCCCCTTCCCCTAGAGCTGTCCCTCATGGGCTGCTAGGCCACCTGAGAAGCAGACAGAAGAGGAGCCATTTTTGTTGGAGACATGACTTTTAAAACCACAGTCAGAATGGGAGAAATGGGGGAAAGCTCTAGTGTCTTGGTCCGGCAGGTGAACAGAACGCAGCTCACTGCATGCGGAAAAGGGAGCGTGGGGGGGGGGGGCGCATGGGTTACAGGAGTGAAGCGTGTAGAAGAGGCTCCAATCAGTCAAACTGCAGGCGTATGCTTAGAATAAAAAACTGCAAGAGCTGGAATGGGGGAACTGAGGGAGGTGCAGCCTTCCTGAGAAACTGTACTCAGACAAAGGGCCTCAGTGTGCTGCATCAAAGATCAAAGGATTCAAGTGGGAATCTGAGCACGAGGGGAAGGCAGAGCAGTAAAAATAAATAGGCCCACCTCAGCTCTCCTCCCACCCCTATGCCTCTCACCTGCCAGCAGCCCTACCACTCACTGCCTTCCCCTTCTCCCCACACCTCCCACCCACTCTGATCAGCTGTTTCACAGCGTGCAGGAGATTGTGGGGGGGAGAGATACGGGAGGCCAGTATCATAGGCTGGGGAAGGCGTTGCCTTCTCAAACCACCAGCCTGGCCCTGTTCACACTCTGCTCTCAGAACGCCTGATCTAGGTGGGGGGTTGCTGCTCCTAGCACCTGCTCTCCCTGTGCCCCAGGCCTGGAGGCTCAGGCAATGCACTGCCCATGCTCCAGGGCTTGGGATGCTGGGGCGCATGTACCCACCCACCTTCCTTCCCTCCCTGTGGTGAAGGCAGGGCCTCAACAGAAGGGGTGGAGCTGGGAGCTTGCCTCTCCCAGCCCTCCCTTCACAAGCTGCCCATGGGCTGAAGGGAGGAGGGAGGGCACAAGAGCCATGGGGGAAGGCATCAGGCAATGCACTGCCCATGCTCCAGGGCTTGGGATGCTGGGGCGCATGTACCCACCCACCTTCCTTCCCTCCCTGTGGTGAAGGCAGGGCCTCAACAGAAGGGGTGGAGCTGGGAGCTTGCCTCTCCCAGCCCTCCCTTCACAAGCTGCCCATGGGCTGAAGGGAGGAGGGAGGGCACAAGAGCCATGGGGGAAGGCAGAGCTGGGGGATGGGCAGTGAGTATCCTGGCACACTGGAAAATTAATGTCCCTCCCACCAGCCCAGAATCAGCACCTCTGCAAGGAGCCACATGTTAATTTCAGAAGAGCTGCATGTGGCTCCAGAGGTGCAGGCTGGCATCCCCTCAATTAGACAGTTACCAGCACTGGCCTGTTGGGCTGGAGAATCGAGGTGCTGTTTCCCATGAGGGGAATTCTGTTACTGCCCTAGGGCAAAATGAGGGATAAGGGACAAAAGAAACTGAGAACCTTACAAGGTAGGCAGTCAACCCCTGCAATAAAGAAGCCAGGCCAAACAATGGCAAAAAGCAACAAACTACCACGGGGGACAGGTTATACCAAAGAGCTGCAGACTGCGGACAGCGATGGACACAAAGCTGGGGACTGTTACAATGTAGTGGCCGACAGCCAGCACACTGCACACAAAGGGCCAAGGGCAGGACCAGGAGGAGCTACAATGAGTCCAAGCCATGAGCTGCCTGAGGCAAGAGTGTCAGAAGCGAAGGATCTACAAACCCACACATCAAAAACCCAAGGGGGCCCTATTCAACAGAACGAAGGCAGTAACAGTGTGTAAGAGCACTACCAACAGCACAAACAGCAAGTGGGAGTCTGGTGTGAAGCCCAGCTGCAGTGGCTTGGTGGCAATGTCTAAACTCCAATCCCAGCAAGTAATTGGATGCTTGTGCAAAAGGCAACAAGAAATTATTGAACAGAAAGATGCAGCCATAAGCACTGAGCTTGGAAGAAGGAACATGGGACAGTAGGAGGGAAAGGTTTGGAGGAGGCACCAGGGAGTCAGTCAGTCTGTGTGCCCATGGCTAGAATGTTAAACAGCATGTGGCAGCTCTGTGGGCATCTAAAATAACAAAATTAAAATAGCGTGTCCCCACTACGGGGAAGCCTCAAAATTAGTCCAAGGAAGGCTCCCTGAATGTGGTTGCACTACTTCAATTTAAAGCCCCAAGAAGCATTGGGGAGTAATTACTTCGAATGACTTTGGGGGGTAGTTATTTCAAAATAGTAGTTCTGGAGCATCTACACTAGTGCTATTTCGAAATAATTATTTTGGAATTAGCATTATTCCTCAAGGAAAGCATGAGCACAGATTTTGAAATAACAGGGTTGGTAGTTTGGATACTCAGCTTATAAATTTGACCCAAGGGGGATTATTTTGAAATAAAGCCCTAGTGTAGACCAGGGTTTAAAGTAACTTCGGGTACGTCTACACTACAGCGCTAATTTGAACTTAGTTCGAATTAGTTAATTTGAACTAAGCTAATTCGAACTAGCGCATCTAGAACTAAAAACTAGTTTGAATTAGCGTTTTGCTAATTCGAACTAGCGCGTCCACACTGATTGGACGCAGGGGGGCATTTAAGGGCAGCTGAAACCGGTTCTGGCAGGGCATCAGGTCAGCAGTTGCTTTGTGTGGCTGCTGTCTGAGGCTCTCTGAGGCTCGAGCTTAAAGGGACC